TCCATGGATTTACTGATGCTGACCCTGCAATTTTTAAGACGTGTCCCTCTTAAAAAGTTAAGAAGTTAAACTTCTGTCAGACAAAGCCAAGTTTAAAGATCAGTATGGAAGGAGACTGATTGTCCCAGAAAAAAGTTATGGGGAGGTAGTAAAGCAAACTGAGAAACATGATGTGTTTATTATTCACTGGCTATAATGGTTTCCTGTTAAAACTGGCTATTTGACAAAGGTGATGAATTTAATTCCTTGCTCTCTCATTGGGAGGAAGTAGCATGGGACAGAAGCAAAAAGTCTTCTGCCTTCTCTAGAGAGTAAACTAAAACTAGCCAAAACTAAAGTTTGGAAGGTGTTAGGAATTTAGCGATTATCAATACTCTGCAAGTGTCAAAAAAGATTGGAGCACTTAAGCTGTCTTGTAAGCCAAGCCATTGTTCACTCACACACATGTCCATACGTAAGCAGCCCAGGGAATCCTCATCTAGGACATATCACACAAAATAGCTGCAGTGTAATTTCTCACAAATCTCAGCACAATTTAGTGCCTGTCAGGAAGTGACAATGAGACTGTGGGCTTCTTACAGATCACATATTGACAGTGAATATGAGATCTGATTGACAGTATTGCTGAAAAGCTTGAAACTCATTATCTCCTGTAAAAGGCTAACAAATACTGGGCATATGATGAAAGAAGTGGCCTTGTTTTACACTTTATGTCAATTTTTAGCTTTTCTTTTAGAGGTCCGTATGCTTTTAATGGCTGCAAAAGCAAAACAGCTTCATAGCTGCTCAGACTTGCAGAGAAGTTATTTATTAGGTGCTATTTCAGACTCTATGCTTGAACAGGCTGGGCTGTAATATTAACCTCCTAATTAGTTAGTAGTGCTGCTGAAGGATGTTTTCCAACATCTGTTTTTAGCACTGTTAGAATGGAGCTTGGAGAATGGATTATTTAATTCATATTAATGGGGAATGGGACCATGCTGGAGATGAACTGCAGTGACTGTGCACATAAATCAGAACACACATTATGTTGCCTGTACAACATGCGAGAGCAGACAGATGCAGCTGAGGCTGCTGCTGAAATAACAGTAGGTTGCAGAACACATCAGAAGTGCTGTGAATAGAACTTTAAAGGACAGCATCTTAAAGGCAGAGACACATGCTTATTGCATATTAAGAGCACTGATCTGAAGACCTGACAGATTTGGAGGTCAGACAGAGCTGCTGTATTTATACACCATGTCAAGACCTTGTCTACAACTGGTTAATGTTAAAATGGCAAATCCATCCAGATGCAGATACAATTTTAGACATAAATCTGTTTATACAGTACTTCTGGGAAGTAATGGTTTAAGTGTCCTGTACTAGGTTGAAAAGCATTGACACAAAAAAGATGTTACCAGTGTAAAGCTGTGACTAGATTTTCTCTTTTTTCTGTTTAGCCATTATAGTTGGTAGTTTAAAAGACAAAGCAATTATCACTGCCTTTCACCTGGAGGTTACTGCTCCCACTGCTTTGCCAGCAGAAGGCATTGTTTTTTATGCTCTTGCATCTACACTAGGCACTCCATTTTCCAGTGGAGGTTGGTTGAATTAATTAACTCAGATGAGGCTGCCTGAGAATACTAGGATGTGCTTAGACAAAGATATGTGTTTCATGTTACCTTCATGCTGCTGTGGTACTCCATACCCCTCCATGTATTCACAAACACTTTCAACAAGCAATAATAAGCAACATGTACCCCAGTGTTATTAGACTTGTAGTGCAAATGCAGAATTACAGTGGCATCAAAAAGGTTTGTACAAGCATAGCAAGAAATTAATATGTATATATATCCAATGCCTTAAGAAGACACCTTTTTAATGCTGTCAGTATATTTTTTTCTTGTTTTCTTTTCTTTTTCCTCACAGTGAGAGCCCTGTGAAGGACTTGAGCAAGCTACTGTTAGCAATATACACCCCACAGGAGGAGGTTCTCCCCAGCTTTGACCTGGCAAACTTTTCTGGCTGTTTTAACCAAATACAGTTTAGTTGACATTCTTCCCATTTTTTTGCACAAGGAAAAGTGTTTCATTCACTGGGGTTAGAAAGTGACAGCTTATACACTCCTAAAGTTGTTTCTGAGTCTGCTGATCTTCCTTGAAAGTTTAGCAACAATGATGTACCTCAGTACATTATATGCTTATAGCTTTCATTCCCATGTAAAAGTTACTGAAAATAACACCAAGAAGAATGCTCTAGCACTTACGACATTACCTTACAGCTGGGGTAGAACTCTGTGAAAGACACTTTCTTTTACCTTTTCATCTTGGAAACAGTAATTTCTGATGGAAATCTTAAAATCAGACTGAAAGAGCACACATGGTAGTGGGATGCACGCTTGCCTCATACCAGCACTTCTACGTGATAGTGTTCCTTTTCTCTTCCCTGAATCTTCACCATACCATAAGTCTTTGCACTAAGAGGCCTTAGGTGTGTTTCTACAGGGACATTTGTAAGCCTGAAAGCTGTCACTGTGGAGCTTGAAGCAACAACTTCCAGAGTAAATGTATGCATCTTAGCAGCCAGTGCAAAAGGAGACAGAATTTCTAGTTGAAAGCTATCATAAATGCATATTCTCTGTGTATTGGACACAGATGTGTTGTGTAACACATATTCTGACTGTTGGGTTACACAAACAAAGTGTGTGACAAGTGACTGAAATGTGAAGCATACACCTTGGTGAATCACTCCATAATTCACAGATTAGTGTACTTTAAAGTATGATACCCCTTCTTAGAGAGTCTCATTGTGTGAGCAGTATTATACAGTACTGTCTTGCCTGTCACAGTTGTGCACTTTGGCTCCTTCAAGGTCTTTATTAGCTTTATTAGCTCAGGCTTTGAGCAGCTACCTAGCCTAAAATGATGTTTCCTCCCTAAGATTAGGACCCTGGACAACACTTCCTTGTATTACTCTTTAATATTGCCCTTCAGAAATGTTGGAACTTCAGAGTCTGTAAAACCAATGATAAAGCTATGGAAAGCACTGTTAAAACTTGAAGCAAATGTAACAAATCATTAGAACTAGGAAAAAAAAAACACTTATGGGCTTATTTAGAAAGGGGACTTAGCAACTGCAACATGCAGGCCATCATCTTTTGCCTACCATGCCAGCTAGTTGTGTGCATGGCTGTGACAAAGAAGCCAGGCTCCCAGACTAGCCTGCAGGGACACATGGGTTCTTCAGAAGGAGAACAGCAGAAATAAGCTGTCTATGCAGCCAGGCCTCTAAGTTGGTCTTACTGACTTGAAAATCTGAGTAACAGGCATGGTTTTAACCTCGAATCTCTCCGAGTCCAAAGTTGGAGTTTTGAAAACTTACCTGCATAGAAACTCCTGTCCTGAATCTGAGCTATGATTCAGTCTGCCTGACTTCTGAACTTCTGGTGTATGTCTGCCTAATTAGCCCTAGGGGGAGGAAAATCCTGTGGTGTGCTTAAGGTAGAGAGAAGCTGGTGTCTTTGAAGACCTGATGACTTTTCTGCATAATACCATTCCCTGCTTCTGATAATCTCTAGAGCCTGAATGCCTCCAAAGGCATCTAATCTTCCTCAAGGAGAAGTCTGAAGAGCATTCTCTGACAAGGGGAGACCCAGCGTTCTGGATCACATACCTAGCGTGTTATAAGAGAAAAAAAAATACTTCTCAATTTCAGCTTTATTTTAGAATTTAACTACAGAAAGAAGAGATTGCAAGAGGTCACTAAACAAATCAGTAGAAATTACAGGGTCAGTTTTTTTCTCTACCTGACCAATCTCCTGGGGAAGGCTATATCCCATAGGGAATTTAATATCTGCTGGTCAGAATTGGTAACTGGTTTACAATTCTTTTTATTATCAGTTCTTGATAAAAGAATATGCTGAGGGAGGATCAGGAGAGGGAAGGTATTTGGATGCACTAGGAAGAAAATAAAAGTAGGAGGATTATGAATTCATGGCGCTGAGTGTATTTTTTTAAAGTCTTAATTTAAGTGAGAGAGGTTAACACTGTGCAGCAAGTATTCCCTTAAAAATATTAAAAGTAAAGCTTAGAACCTATATCTGTAGAGAACTTCTATGATATCCACCTATTCCGTTATTGCAAGCATCTTTAAAGCTAGGCTTTTGGATGCTTCTCCAGGCCTTGTAGGATGTGAAATTTGCTATTTTGGAGGTTGTGTTTTCTTCTAGACTGGTGAATATGTAACCAACAAGTCAGATTCACCAGGATAAAGTTCTTTAAGCTTTTATTTCCCATTTATTGAACCCATGAGCTGTTTAACATATCTGCCAAAGTTTCATTCTTCCTTACACTGTGGTGTTGAATTTGAATGAAAATATTATTCTGTGTTCCTCATAAACAATAACAAAAAAATTATTTATATGGTGGCTTTATGATCTCTAATAAAGAAGAATGAAAAGAAAATTAGAAGAGTGAAAATGCTCAGGAAGTTCTTTATGGAAGAATAGCCATTAATACAAAACACATTTTACAGGGTAGGTGTCCCAAAATCTTTTGGATGACATGTGAGTCCGATGCTACTATTAAGACTTCCAACTTGCAAAGGCTTATACATATGCTTAGAATTATACGTTTGTATAAATGCCTTGATTGTGTTTGGTTGCATGTAACCTTTTTCAGAAATAGATGCAGGCTATTTAAAAACAACATCTAGAGAAATAAAGAAGGAAAAATCATGAAACTCTGTTTGGCTCTAAAACAGCCATCATCTTATCTGCCAAAATCACGTGTAATTCACCGTTAGTTCTGTGTTCCACATCCTGTATTTAAAGAGTCTTACCTTATAAAGATGTCAGAACTGGGACCATTATATGGAAATTCCTCTAAGGAACACACCCATTTGTGGAGAAATGTGTACTTTATTCATCGTAACTAGTATATATATCTCTCCTGCAATTTATGAATAATTATAAATAATGTTCTGTGCTGATGTTGCATTTCTGTGTCATTATCTTCCAGATGGGAGTTGCTGTAGTGGATTCATCTGTTGCAGGACTGGGTGGTTGTCCCTATGCAAAAGGTGCTACTGGGAATGTAGCCACAGAGGATGTGATATACATGCTTAATGGTCTCGGGATCAACACAGTAAGATATTTTTACTTTCTGCTTAAGACTTTAAGGAATTCAAAAGTATTTTTCTAAAAAACATATAATACATACCTGACAATTACTTCTGCTGTAAAATAAATTACTGGGAGCAAATAGTAGTTTTTACAAATTCAGTTCTTTAACGTGACTTGACACGGAACATGAGTGTTGTGATGTTCTCTTCACTAGCAATTTAGAGTAGGACTGGTTTGCGTATTTGACAGATATTTGAATAACACCCCCCTCGTCCTACCTGGAGCAATGAGAAGCTCAGTAGCAACTGCTTTGAGTCATTACTTTGCCTGAGTAACCACAAAAAAATTACTGCTGTAGACATTGCTCCAGAAGGTTGACCAGCTCTATAGTGGAAAGACTGAGCAAACCTCAGCTTTTTTCACATACTGTTTATTAATTTGTTGTCAGTTTTTCTTGCTTCCACATGGAGAAAAATGGTGGTGTTTGGAGCCCAAGCACATGGGCATTGCTATTTCTCAATTTATTTCAGAATTGTACAGAACCTGTTACTGGCTAGAAGGCATCACAGTCATTTTTATTTCCCACTCTGTTCTTGGAGGAGAGGGCGAAGTAGCTTATCTGCACTGAGCTGCACTTTAATGAACCTTACCAGTGAGCACCTACACTTCAAAAGTATACATTTAGTATCTCTGGCTTGATTGGCATGTTAGTTATTATGTATTTCTGGGAACCAAATAATGCAGTCTTCTCCAAAGAATGTGCTCTTTGGTCTTCCTGTTGGACACCACTGTTCTAGAAATGTGGCATAATGAGATTGTACTGACCTGAGTGATACAGTGACTTTACCTGTAACTTAGACATAGACTTAATAGAGTCAAATTCAAAGAGAACATATAAAGAGCTCCAAAACTGCAACGTGTATGATTTGTATTTACTGCAGAGAGAAACTGCAAAGCCTGATGTCTGAAATACAAATATCTGAGTTACTGGGGTGCTTGTAACTTGTCTGTATGTTGCAGTTCAGTGCAGCATAGATGCCAGGTGAATTCCTTGATGTGAAAAGATTATGGAACTTTTTTCCTATTTGTACATCCCCTGAGCACTGCAAAAGCCTGTTCAGAACCTTACAGAGTTCACTGAAATGTTTATCTGCTTTCATGTGCTTCTTAAGGAGTTCTGTGTAGGTCTCAGATACATGTTTAGAAAAGGTTTAATCACAAGTGCCCATTGTACAAGTGGACTCTCTTTCAAACTGTTCATACATGCTTTGGGATAGCTTTTTTTTTGTGAAGAAGGAACTTATTCTTTTGAAACAATACAGTTCTTTGAAATAAGAAGGAGAAATTGTGTATTTCACTTTACATTGCTGCGCACCTTAGACTTTCTGTATAGTCTTTCCTTGGCCAAAAAAAAAATAAAACACCATCAAATACTTACTTCCCCTTTTGTTCTTTTTTTTTTTTTAATATTTTTTTAATTTAAGATTATGCAATAGCAAAACACAAGGCTTTGCTTTCTGACCCTTTTCTGGCCCATTAAGAAAAGAGTGGTTTACTGGATGAGAGATACAGAGCCTCAAAATTATTAGCTTAATATATGATCTTTGATCTTTGCACTGTTGCTTGTTTTTGATACCATGGTCAATTCTGTAAAATCATAAAATTGTTATCACAAATACCTATTAGTATGTCCCTTTTTGTGTAATCACACAAAATGAAATTATAATTACTCCTGCTGTACATTTGCAAGGAGTGCTTTCTCATTTCCTCTCAGCTGTGCAGTAAAGCTTTAATTTTGTTGACTGAAGTCACTGAAAGTGTCAACCAAAGGATGGACAGTATTTAACCATACATTACTGGGTTCAGATTGAGTAGATATAGCAAAATAGTAATTGATGCTTGTTCTATACTGTTCTTCAGAACATGTAACCAAGAAGTGACACATGAAATAAATCTCTGTCAGGCTAAATGTGAAATAATTTTCTAGCAGAGCGCATCTACAAAGAGATTTATTGGTTCTACCATGGTAATGGATAGATAATTGTGTCATAGATCATTAGTGCTTATGAAACTTTGTAGGGAGACACCCACTTTCTATAAAAACATTTTCTATATAGTTCCTATGTAATTACAGTAATAGTATTTGTGTTTATGATGCCTTAAAAGTGCTTGGCAAACAATAGGGCTTTCTGAGAAACAACTACGTACTGTTAGCCTCACATTACTGACACCAAAACTGAAGTACAGAGAGATAATAGACTTGGTATTTGTGAATGCTGAACGGCAGCTGGTTGAAAAGTCAATGGGAGTTAAAGGACTTTGCCTTTTGGCAGAAGCTTTTCTGACTTAAGGTACTTATCCAAGTTCGTGGATGCTATTGGAGGCACTTGTTCTTGTGCTTCATGGCTTCGTTCCTTGGTGCCAAGGAATAATTCTGGGTATATGGAGTGGTTACCAAGTACATTTCTGAGTATCTGTCTGAAGGTACATTATTTTGACTCAACAAACTTGCAAACAGCTGTCACTACTCCTTTCCCATCCATGTCTGTGAGTCATACTTGTGAATGCTAGGTTTTATGCCCTCATGGTAATCCTTTTTGGTTCACAGTATTTACATGAGAAAGACAATTTAAAAGGCAGAGATGCTTCTATTCCATTTAATGAATGAGTACTGTGAACATACATTTCTGATTAATGCATATTACATTATGCAGTGTTACAGTGCTGAAAATGTAAATTTTGTATAGTTTGGGAGTTTTATTTTGCTGTCTCCCATAGTCTAACTACCAAGTAGGGTGGTATGTTTCTCATTTGTTTTAGTAAAAAAGAGATGCTCAAAGAATTTTTTAGATTATGTTTTATGTAATAGCACTCTACAAACTAAACTGAAGTAACGACCTATAAGGGATAATAAGAATAAGCTGAAATCAACCTTGTTGTAACTGTATTAAAATGAGACAGTTATAAAAAGATGTCTTTGAACAATGTTTTAGATGGTGCTAAATACTAGAGCCAATTAGAAACTTTGACGCTTTTTTTTTTTTTAATAAAAATGGTTTTGATTACATATCCATGAAGTAATTCCTATTCTTATTAACATTTTTAGTCAATTCCAGGAATGAAAAATGCAAATTTGACTGATATATAAACCGATACAGAATATCGAAATAAGAACTAGATTGAATTAAAGGATTAAGCATCTAAATCAGGTCTTGGTCTGACCTTTACTTCATAAATCCGTAAGTGTTATGAAAGTCTATTTCTGGAGCAGTACATCTTATACTTTTTAATTCTGGGTGACATACATCTCCCAATTTTATGTGACTGCTCAGTGTATTGGTAGTTCAAAGTCCCCTTTCACATCTTTTCTACAGGGAACTTTACTGGCTTGTAAATTCCAATCTTCATAGCAAGTACTTATATCACTCATGTGATCTAATTCTAAAACCTTTACTATACATGAGTAATCCAGGGGACTGATCATAAAGTACTTTTTCCCTCTTTAATCAGTGATCTGATTCCATTTTAGCAACCAGGTGCTACTGAGATGTATCTTATGTTAGTTAAAAAACAGTTGGTTGCTCAAAAGACTTTTTTTTAGCATGGGCAGATCAAGCAATTGCAATTTTTTGCTCAGTTGTACTACCAATGTAAATTGTAATTTTGCATTGAAAGGAGCTTCTTAAAGGAGATGATACTTATTCAAGAGAATGCAGGATCGTGTTTCTTACTGAACTCAGTTGCCAATACAAGTGTGTCTCCCCTGTTTTCCTGAGCTGCAAGTGGGATACTTGTATGCGTGAAGTTTCCTTGTGTTGGGTGACAAATAAGAACAGCACTTAAGCAGATACGATATTTTTCTTCCATCTTCTTCTAGTTGTTTTTCCAGTTCTTTATTCAAAATTCTTTTGAGTTTGAAAGTTATTACTTGAGTATCTGGTCCACTGATGTTAAGATAAATAGCTCTCAAAATGGTAGGTCCTTCCAAACAACTGAAGCTGTGATTCTTGTGTAAGTCACTGTAACTCTACTGTTTTCATTACTGACCTGTGACATGAATCAGGCACTTTGTTTGCAAAAATTAGACCCTAGCAAAAAAGAAACCTTGGGGTTTAAGCATTTTCAACATGTGAATTTATTATTCTTAACATTTTTCACTTCTTTTTTAGGGAGTAAATCTTTATACAGTGATGGAAGCTGGAAACTTCATCTGTACAGCTTTGAACAAGAAAACAAATTCAAAGGTTGCGCAAGCTTCCTTCACTACTGGAACTGTCAATTAAATTAATGTTTTTTGCCACTTAATTGCATTCTTCATCTATCTTGACCAAGGACATTTATATCAAGAAACAAATATAAGAAAATAATTTCAGCAAAGAACCAAAATAGAACCCATATATAACTTTTTCTTATGGGAAGAGTTATTGCTCTCTACTGTCTTGTCAAGAATTATCTGATTTGTAAGTAAGAAATAAATGACTGTAGTACAGAACCTTGTGCTTGGAACTTCTACAGATGAGAAAAATGTATATAGACCAGGATATTTAATTATGTTTTAAATTGAATTTTAGTTCTTTTCAGGAAAACTGGATAGAAGCAGTGACTACATAGTTAATTATTAATCAAGATGACTTTTAGAACAGTACAAATATTTGCAGTAGTTTATGAGATCCCACGCTGTGTGTGGCCATTCTATTATGTGTTTTATTTATCTGAATCTTTACTTTTCATTTGTCAAGTCAGTTGTGTTATGACCATGGAGCCAAATATGAATTCACCATAAGAATATTTAGCAATAGTACTTTTCTAATTTTTGTTTTGTTTAACATCTGTTAAGTTATGGACGACTTTATCTTGTTGCAAGACTTTGTGGTGAATGGCAATCTGCCAGATCCTACAAATCTAATGCAAATTTCCTTATTTGTTACATATGTTAAATTTGTTGTATTTGTTGGCTTTTTTTTGTTAACTGTATTAAAATGTATATGCAAAAAAAAAAATTGGCAAAGTTTTCAACTCTCATTCAGGGTAATGGTAGTGTAGAAGGGGCTGAATTTTTGTCCAAGGTCTCATCAAAAAATTTGGGGTTTTTATTCTGTAGTCTTTAAATTGACATTCTCACTTGAAAGTAATGAGGTTTTGAGGATAATAATATTCTGATGGACTAGTTTACATAAGGGAACTACTTGCAATTTTTCTCAGTGCTTTACTGATAATGATACTGTTCTTTTAGATGTCTTAGTTCAGCAAGATGCCAGTGAACTGCATTGTCGGTTTTAGATCAGTAATGGATGCATTCAAAGAGCCTTATCCTATCTGTAACCTGTTCAAAAGTGCCATGTAAATGTTGTCATTTTTTTCAGCCTGAAACATCGATGCAGTTATTGGCTGGCTGTGTAGGATCCTTCTGTAATTCTCGGTGTATCTAACGTAGATCTATATTTTTTCTGAACATAGCCTATTAACATAAAAACCTAAAATCTATAATCTTTTTCATATTTTCATTTTCCTCCAAAATATGAAAAGCTGGGAAGAGGCAAGATGAAAGAGAGTGAAAGATAACATAAAGAAGGAAAAGACTGAATCATTTTTGTCTGGAACCCAACTCTGCCAAGTTACAGCTGACTCTGGGTTTGCCTTTGAAATACTGAAGTGAACTTTTTCTGAGGTCTTTTAGGCAGTACTGTAGTTCAGAATTGGCACAGCTTGAGGAAGTCAAACTTTACATGCCACGTAACTCAAAGCTATAAACTTGATATAAAACCTCTATCCTGTTTATGCCAAAAGCATAGTGAAAACTAAGATAAACTGCATTGTATCACTCTTCACATGGTAAGAGTCAAAGAATAAGCAAAGAAATTGTTCAGGTGAGGCAGGAAATATATTGCCTACTAATACAAAATACAAAATGGCACACTTTCCTCCGGTATCTAGTAAGAAAACTTTTAAGTATTCTTAAAGATATGAACACCATTACTTGCTTGAACTGTTCTGGATGCACATGGTTGGATCACCACAGAAAATGCTCTGTCCTCATTTTCCCATGATTCAGCTGGGGCTTTGTTATTTAGCAGCCACTATGGCTCATAGATCAAACCACAAACTTTAATAAAACTAGGTCTTGAACCATTCACAGATTTATAAATTCTGTAATGGGTTATATCAAATGAAGATGTGAGAAATCTGCAGCAGTATGTTGGCTGTTCTTGGTCTAATAATTAGTAGTCAGGCCTAAATGAGGTGCCAGAATTAACATTATAAATACCCTAATTCAGGTTGCATTTACTCCTGAAGGTGACTAATCACACTGTAATACTTTCCTGTTTAATAATAGAATTTCCTTATTAGTTTGCTTCTGTGCCGGCACAGAATTAGCTCATTTTGGGCTGAAGCATGCAGTTCTGTTGTAGGGCCTGATGAATTTTTATCGACCCAAGATCCTGTGACCATGTTTAACTGACATTAGCAAGACTGAGCCTCTCAAAAAATGAAAGTGAAGTCACCCCTTGGAAAAAGGAAAACAACAAAGTAGTTGTGATGCAAACCACCTCTTAAATATTAGCCTGGATGTCAGACTAAACAATTGATCTGCGATTAGCTTGCTACTCAGCCTGGAAAGATTCAGATGCACATTTTCTGGCACTCTAATCAACCACCCAGCTATATGCAGAACTGAAAAATATAATTATTAGTAACTTACAGTAAATCTGGATGACGTTGTGCCACGGGGCAGGATGGAATTAAAGATTTTTGAGACCAGAGAGATCACATGAAAAAAGTGTCTCTGCAACAAGTAAGAGTTGTTCCTTGCAAATGGTGGTGAAGGCTTCAGCTATAGGCAAAGTTAGGAACTGAACCGATACTATCCAGTTTTTTGGTAAGTATACTAACTACAACATCTTAGATAAAAGTGAGTAGTTTCCCTGCTACCATGATTTTTGTGTTGAAGAAAATACCTATGCAGAACATAGACTATAGAATAAAGGAGCTAGCGTTGCTCAGTTCTTTAGGAGTTTTAGACATCTATGCTCCTAATTACCATGAAGTATTGCTAACTTTGGCGCTAGAAGACCCTTACGCTGTGGAGGAGTTTTCAGATATGCCTCTGTGTATAGTGCAGATGCATCTGGGCTGTCCAATTTGCAATTCTAAGGCACTTAACTCTCCCTATGCACTGAAACAGGGTACCTATTAAATCACAGGGATGGACAACCTAAAATGCCTTGGTTCTTTATTGGGTCTGGTTTAGAAACTACTTAGGAGCTTGTGGAGAGCCTTCAATGCAGGTCTGTTACTCTGTAATGATGTGAGCATTGGAAAAGATGAGCAGTCACATCTGGAGCCTGTTCTTTACCCACACGTTCAGCTTCAACCACATAGTGATTTATAGTAATCCAGGGTGGAGGTCACAGACAAATAGATTGTTTGTCAGGATCCTTACAAGGGAGAAAGAAACATGGAGCCAGATAAAAAAATAAAAAAAACAACCCATGTTTATGTGCCAAAAGTGCCACCTGGGAAGAATTTAGGTCTGTGGGTCCAGGTGAGCAATCCCCATAAAAATCCTTCTTTACTTGTCGTGTGACTGAGAATCCTAAGCCATGTCAAGTTCCTGCTTCTAAAACTTGTTAGACACATAAAGTGCTGCCACTCTGCTTTCCTGGACTGGCATCGTTTTGACTGTGTGGAGCATTTTAATGCCTTATCTTTGGCTTTAAAAAATAACCATATATTGCCTTTAAGAACAAGAGCTAATCCAGTAGATGCCATGAGTATCACTCATGTGGGTAGCATTGAATTCAGCACATAATAAAGAAGTTGAGATTACATCCCTTCAAAAACATGCCAAGTCATGGGATTGTGCTACTGCTCTCCAGTGTTTCTTTCTAACTCTTTATGCTTATATTCAGTGACCCATCATTGGTGGTGCCTGCTCTTTTAGCCCCTATCAGTGTCTCTCACTGAGTACATTGCTTTTTCATCACACTGAATTAACCCTCTGGCTGTAGAAGGCTTGCATCCAGGTGTTTGGCTTCCATGAGCAGATGTTCTTATTACTATGTCATTATGATAATTATATGAGTATATATTTGTTGAAAGGTATGAAGAAAAAGCAACAGAGCACTGAATATCATGATCACACTTTTGGGAAGTGGGGACATACTGTCTCTGTTTTGCTGATGGTCTTCTGTAAATATTGAAAAGGGAGTAGTATAAACTCAGAACATGAATGAGAGAAGTAGTTACTGACTGCCCTGCCAACTCTTATTAGAGAAAAATTAGGTGTACCAAGATATTTACTACTTTGTAGCTCACTGTACCAGTCACTGAAGAGATCTCGCAGAACAACATCGAGATCATCTTTCTTGTGCCAGGGTCATGGAGTATGTAAACTGTCAGTCCCCAGTGGTCTTTGGTCTGTGCCCTGCTCTGAACCTGTGGCCAATGTCATGTTGCTGGATATTTCTCTCATACTTTCACAGTAGTTTTGCTTTTCCCCATATGGTTTGGCCACAACTAGAAAGTAAAATGCTGGTTTCCTTGGCAGGTCAAGACATTATATTGTTCTGAAGATGCGGCTGGTGTGATTTTTTTGGAGGAGAAGTTAATCGGTTCCGTTAGTAATGGGCATAAGTGTTCTTCCGTGCCTTTCACAAGACAGCCATGACATGGAACCCATACATGGATAGTGCTAATGTATTCCAGCAGCAGCTTGCTTTGTAGTTTAAACTTTTACATATTTAGGCATCTTGGCTCTGAACCAGCACTTTAAAATTTTATTTTTGTGTATAAACAGGGTTTAGGGAAATAAAAGTAAATATTCTGGTCTTGAAAATAAATTCAGAGACCCTTTGGCTAACTTTCCTTTCTTAATAGCATCATTTGAGTTCATAAAACTTTTATTATTGTAATAAGGATTCATGAAATGAAGACTGCAAGTCTGTGAGGTAAAATTCCTATGTTTTGGATCAGTGCTGTTGAAATGAAATACTGTTTGTCCACTGAGTTATTCTTAAGGAGTAAAAATATTGTTTAGTTATTGTGATACCTAAAAATGAGTGTTCTCTGCCACTGTTTTTTTTTTTTGTTTTTTTTTTTAATATGGTTTCTCAGACTGCCTCAGGTTCTCTTTATAGATTGTGAAATGTCTGGAGAATGGACTGAACAGAAGAATCAATCTGGAGAAGTGAATGAAAGACACCTTCCAGTTCTTGACTTACTGGTCAATGCTTTTCTTATGTTATATTTTTGAAGATTTTTTTTTTTCTCTATGGTCCTGCTCTAATGCAGTGTTAGTCTTCATTTCTGCAATAACACTGCAGGCCGAAGGACTACAGCCAAAGTCAACTTAGTCCTTTGAAACCGATGTAAGAGAGATTATGTGTTTGTTAAGGAATTATCATGTACTCTCTTGGTTAAATGCATTTGTGATTTTGCAATATGTGGTGTTAAAGCTGAAATAAAATATATCTCAGTGTTTACTGAAACTGATATGCTTATGTATTACACCAGATTCATCAGCTCTGACTAACCAGCTCACACACACAGCATTAGCAAATATAAGCTGTCACTCTGACACGTATGCCTGTGTTGACTTTGTTACCGTGTAATCCATTTGGAGTGCATTTTCTTCAGATTACCTTTCCATCAGTTGTTCCTCTGTGCTTTTATAGCTGACAAATCTCTTCTAAGTTACTGGGGAAATATTTCTTCCCTCCATTAACTAAACATTAAAAGCTAGAGCCAGGACTGGAGGTAGGATTAAAAAAATCAGTGTGGCATTATCTAACTTCAGATGTTCCACTGCAGAGTAGAAATCTGTGCCCTTTAAGTGATGTCTAAGACCCCCTGTACACTTCATGGGAGACTGAATGATTTCAGCATGTGGTCTGAAACATCACTGTGATGATCAGGGAATGTTCTTGGAGAAGTCAACTCTAAAATTCCCTATCCCATGCTACCATTAAGTACCTCAGCATGAGCTGCAGCTAGTTATCTTCACCAGCTTGAATTCAAGTTAGTGTTTTCCCTGGTGGAAAGACACCCACAGTAATGTTTTTTAAAGAACTGAATGGCGTTCATTCTTTTAAGGCACCATCTTCAGGACAGAGTTGGTGCTGCTTGCATCTATCTCCTATATTATTAGCTTTATCTGACATCCAGCTGAGTACCAGGGTGCCATTCCCACAACAGCCTGAACAGGCTGAGTCCATACTCGTCTGCCCAGGCAGCCCATTCCTTCACCTCACAAACAGGTTGGCTGAGAAAAATCTTCCTTTTGAAGAATTCAAGACTCACTGTGGCAAGACAGGAAAAGTGGAGACCTTGTAGTTTCAGTACTGCATAAGGAACAGCTAGTTCTGTGCACTTGTCTCAAAAACTTTTTACAAATTTAATTGGAAAAAATCTTTAGATAAACTACATAAACAATCTTGAAAGGGAAATCTTGAACCCATTTCTGTAAGACTAAAATTTATGCTTTTTCCCTCTAGTCCAATCGGTCGTCATTTCTTCACTTTGCATTGTCCTGTCTACAATGGAAGGGGAGTGAATGCCATGTCCTTACTCAAAATGACCTCTGTCCTGGGAATCCCAAGTCACCAATGAGACCTAATTTTTATCAGCTGGGAATTAGGTGCAGATATCTCACATCAGGAGAAGAGATTTTAATGATGATGCTCTTACAAAGATACTACTTCTTCCAGCACAAAACTGTTGACAGAGTCTAATCATGATCACTTGAACACAGGCCATTCCAGCAGAAATTCCTTTATTTTATAATTAACACCCAGATACAGCTGACAGACTACAGTGTCACTAGGAAATATAAATCAAACCAATACATTTTACAGGTATAATAGAGGAAATGTACTTTTCCATTAAGCAATGAAGTGAGCTCTAATGAAAGGCTCTCTTCTAATGAAGAGAGCCTGTAAAATTACAGAAGCAACATAATGGCCATAAAGATCTTGCTGTCTTTCAAAGAAACTCACTTGTGTGTGTCTGTCTAAGCACATATATGAGTAAACTTTCTAGTATCTAACTATAATTGTAAAAAAAAGTTTATATGACAGAAAGCTAGAAGAGGTGTTTTTGATTTAGGTTCAGTTAAATCTGAATATGAATGGATCTCTTCAAATTCTTTGACAAAGAGGGTTCAGCATTGAATCTTTTGTTTTTGTTTTAAAGTCAGACTGAAAAACCAACACAAGGTTTGCTTCATATGTGCATTTCCTATATAAAGGAATTATCCAACACTGTATTCTCAACATTTTGTTTGGTTTGAATTTTTTAATCTTCACAGTTTTACGATCAAGAATATCAATACACTACTTTCAAAATACCTACATGGTAGGAGGTAAACTAAAAGTTGCAAATTGCTGGACTGATAAAGGAGATTGTTTTGGTTTGCAAACTAACCGAATTTGTACTTTTCTGTTGTATTTTTGTCCAAAGGCTGATTTAGTAATGAGATATCATTTGACTGCAAATCTGGACAGAATTTTTGGGCTTATGCTGATCCTAAAAAGAGTAAATGCCTGATGTAATAACTGTAAAAAATTTCTAAAACTCTCCCCAGCAGAACTGCAGACCTGTTATTTTGCTCTCACACTGAGTCATTTCACAAGCTACCAAAGCCAGCAGCAAAACTCACATTGAAGAGCAGAGACATTCCTGCTGTACTGATCACACAGTGAATTTCTAGCCCTAGCTCTGAATCAGTCACAGTCTAAACCGGAGCTGAATTCAGTGAAACCAGTATTTAATTCCTGATACTGTGTTGTGTTACATTTAGTTACATTAGCTGGGAATTCAGACATAATTCAAATTAATCAAATTCAAAATATAATTAATCAGATGCTATCATAACAAGACAGTGCATATGCCATTCATGGTAACAAATGGCAGTAAGAAATGCCAGTCCATTATCCTGTGCTGACCAGAATCAGATCATTACAAGGATATAACTATGACAACTAATTGCTAGAAATTTAAGCTAGATGCTTAAATCTAGCAAAATAGCTACAGGGAGAAATCCAGAACTCAAAGCCAGAAAGTGGGATCCAGAGTGGTGTGTTAGGGACCATGACTCCCAGTACAGTGCACGGGGAGAATTAGGCACTTCAGGTCTTGCCTAGAGACAGTGAATAGAAAACATAGATGATGAGATGGGTCATATCTCCTCTAGAGAAGCAGGCACTTCACTTCAGCCCCAGGCAAGTGGCTTTCTCCACTGGGCATTAAGACCACAGAATTATTTCTAAAATTACTATATTGAAGTTGTCAAGGATCCTTTTATTTCTTTTCAAAGCATATTGGAGGAGAAAGCAAAAAGTTTCAGCAACAATATACTGAGGTCAAAGTATTAGCCCTGATAGTTTTATTCTTATTTGTACTGAAAGGGATTGGAATCTTGATCTCCTCCTATCCCAGAAGTGTTCCACCATCAAACTACAGTCAGCCCACATGTGACTGCTGCCTTACAAATATTGCATCAGGTACTTGGTACATAGGAACCTAGTGTACAAAACTACCACAAATGTACTTTTTAACAGCTCTCTTCAATGTTTCTGAGTGGATTTTTTTGTTTCCCTTTCCACCAGAATAGTTAAGATCAGAAGGGCTGGATTCAAAGATTGGCACTGCTAGGCAGATTCATGCTGATAAAGCATTTATACCATTGTTGTGTGCATCTAGAGATGTAGGAAATGTGCAGCTCAGGACAGATCTGTGAACCTACGCAAATAAGAGAGAGTACAGTTCTACTTTTGCTTAGCTTTAATGAAAGTTAATAAATACAAACATCTTTTGTATGCTCAACTACAAAATTCCATAATTTTTAGTAGTTTTTCTAATATATATTTTATTATCGCATATGTACAACAGGCTGGCTTTCAAGAATAGCCTTAAAAAGCATAAGCAACAGAGTAGTTCATCTATGACTTTTATAATGGACCATAAATGTTTCAGAAGAATGGTCTGGCGAGGGACTTCTTGACTCATGTTTTGTTCTGCAGGCTCTAAAAACAAAGAATGTGCATGTATTTAACAATAAACTATACAGCTTTTTGTTTGAACTTTGGCTTAATTGAAATCAGTGGCAAAATTCCCCTCATTTTATGATGAACACTGTGGTATAAAATAATGCCCTGCACCATTATTAAAGCACTGTTCTTTCTTCCATCCCCTGTATTCTTTTAATCTGAGTTTTATTTATATGCTGATATTCCTGTAACTGTAAACTTAAAGAGAAAGCCTCTGTTCCCATATATCCTTGCCTTGCCTTTTGCATTTTTCTGCATGATTCTTCTTTGATCTGCCTCTGAATTTAATAATGAAATTCGACTCAATATACCTCCCACTATATATAGCTCCTGCTACATCATGTTCTGTTACCTATCATCTGACAGTGTAATTCTTGAAATCTGGCCATTTAATTTGGTCCAAGAAAATGTATCATTTCAGAAAAGGCCATGTTCATTTGACTAAGTGAATGCACATTTCTGTTTTCTTACCAAGCATTGCTGTCTGGGCAGTTTCTCACAGTGCATGTGGGGGAATGTTTACAGCACCCTATCAGCAAAAATGGCATTTGGCAAGAATATTAACTACAATAACAACATTCACGGTTTGGTTTCTAAATATGTTATAATGCTGAATATTCTCATTTCCTTTCTGCATTACTTCTGCCTACTACAAGGCTAGGAAGGTAGGCTCGCAGAATTTTTGAATTCAGATTTCACCTTCTCCTGCCATGGGACAGGAAATGAAAGCTCCTGAAGCCTGGAATCTCTGCATGAATGGAGGCCATTGTAGAGGCGCATTGTATTTCACATTTCCCTGCTGACACCCACAATGTCAGTTCTTTCTATCACTAGGAAATGCTGGACTGTTTTTGAAGATGATCACGTTTCCACCTCTTAACTAAGGCAAAACATTTTATTTTCTGATTTTCCAGTTTCCTAGAGACAGTGATTAATATCCCTATCAAATTACCTGGTCTTTAAGAGAGTCAACAGGACTATTCCTAAGATGAGAACTATGCAGGAGGAGTAGGCAATAATGTAGACTGTTTCACCTATAAGTAAAAAACAGAAAGCAGACATGAAACAGTTATTTCTTCAGTAATAAGAATATGATTTAAAATCTGAATTGGAATGCACATGTATGTAAGTTAAATTAGCTATCGATTCTGACAAAAGTAATTAGAAGGAGAAAAAAGCCAATGGTTGGAATAACTTCCTTCACCAAAAATAATTTTCAGACTCCTTCCAGTAAATGCCAGCCCCACTAGCACTTCATATGTGTAGCACTACGTTTTACTCTATGCCAAGGGGACAGCTTGTTACTCTGATTTGTGTTTTTGGAGTATTTTCCCTATTTGTTTTAAAGTTTTAATTTTATTCCCTATATCAGAGGAAACCTGGTCCTTACTTACCTGTTAGATCTCTTATCATTTTTTGCATATTGCCATAATTGCAGTAACGCAGCAATACTTGATCTAGAATCAAATTAATGTAACATGGGATCTAGCACCGTGTTTCTGGGACCTGGGCCCATGCCGTTTCCTCTTTTTCTTAGGCTTCTCACCAAAAAGTCACTTAGGAGGCTTATGTGCTAAAAATTCCAACTGTTGAAAAACTGGGATTCGTTTCAACTTTTATTTTCCAAATAAGGAGAAACTTATTTTTCTTTTTTCCTGAAGAAATGAATTCATCAGTTTTGATCAAATATTCTGAAGGAAAAGTTTCAGTTGAGACTGTAACATACACCCCAAGCCTGAGATAAAGAGATGCAGAGGTTAGATGATTTGGCAAGAGGACTCAAAATCCAGAGCTGCAAGAATAAAGCGTGAGACCTGTTGCACTGATTCTGCCATATTTATACAATCACATAAGTTTTATTTATATAGGAACTCAAATTCAGAGCTGTTTCCAAGCTGCTCCACCTTAGTCAGTGAAACATTAACTGAGGAAAAGATGGGGTCCTGGCCACAAATCTGGGCCACTTCTCTGGGTTGAGAAGGCAAAATTCTTATCTGTGGATCAGCTACCAGTTATATGTTCCGTTATTTAGACCCTAAATGAGCCATTTCTGTATACACTGCATACATGCAATGCAGGCAGTATGGAGCGGAGAAGCGGTTTGGATCTTCCTGGGTTTTATTCCCAGATGATACTTCTTCTCATACTTCTCTATTCAGAAGTCAAGTTTTCCAATAAAAGAAAAATGAAAGCACTGATTGAACCAGCACAAAATGAACATACCCCTTAATGCAACAAGCTACTAAAGATATGTAATGTGGTGAATTTTTGAAGGAGGAGGGGTGAGGTTTATCTGAGTCTCAGTGTGAAACAGCTAACAACATACATTAAAAAGCATGAGCAGTTGGCCCTCCTCTCAAGTTACAACATTTCTTTAAGGTGATGAGTTTTAGGAAAAGAATAATTTCTAGGCTTTTCTTTAGGGTTCTTCCCCCCCCTTTTCTGAATCTTAATTACACACTCAGTTGTTTGTTTTTTTGTATTTTTATTGTTTTCAAACTGTAGAAAGAAAGACATGCATATAGAAAGAAAGCCGTAGAAAAGCTGCAGGAGCAGTTGTAGAGGCAAGTTTCCCACTTTTTTTTAAGTGAAGAGTGAAGTTCATACATATTTAAGGAAATAGAAGTTTTTAGAGTATGTCACTTCCCACGAGACTAGGAAAATTCTTAGGAACAATGCTCAAGGATGGTTAAAAATGGGCTAATATAATTTCACCAAAACATTGTAATATTTTTCTTTTAAAAGCTGGAAAAGCTGTTTCATTTTGATAATGCAAAACATTCTGAAATGATTAAATGAAATTAAAATGTTCTATTTTTGCATCAAAATTTTGTAATAGGCTATGGTTCTGGTGAAGCAATTGCTGGTAAAAGAGCTGCCGGTTGTAACATTTTCAGTTCTATCAGGAACACAAGAAATATGTTAATGATGAGATCATGATAGAAACCATACATTTTCTCCTACCTTCTGAGAAGTGAGGGAATTTGTATAGCTAAGACAGGGTGCAGTTTTATGTCTGAAGAGCTAATTCTTCATTTTATATACTTTTTTTGGGGGTTTACCTACTTGAATGTGCTTTTTCATCTTCCCTTAAATATATCATTGGGTGTGTGTTTCTTGATAGGCACTCTGCTCTTATTTAAAAACACAAAGGATATTTTATAGAAATATTTACTATTAACCTGTATCAAATCAGTTCTTGAAACATGAAATACTGCTAAGGCGGTTAAGAAATATAGATATGAAGTATAGGGTGCATAACCTGCCTATGTCGTTACTCTTCTAAGGAACAGCTGTCACTATTTCAGTACTTCTCTTCAACTGACTGAGGTTTGGGTTGTCTGACTCTGTGGAGAAATGGATACAAATGTCTGCATGTACCACAAAGAAAGGAACATGCAGTGTCTAAAGACTTATAATAGGAGGTGGGTAAAATACAAGCTGTTTCCAGCTCAGTCCTGCAGAGAATGAATTGACAAAAGTGGAGAGTAGCCATTTCGGTTGCAAGGGGAAGGGCTGTGAGGTGCTGGGAGGGCTGCTCTGTCCCATGGTGGTGGCCTGTAGTCATGAGAAGCTCATGGACCTTCTCTCTTTGAGGCAGGTTTATAGCACGGCCACTGCAGCTGCATGATGCATGTCTTGCACTTCCTAGGGCAGGCTGCAAACCTCAGGGATGCAATGACTGGGGCTACAGGTACCACTGAAGCATTAGCTGGAGCTGTCTGCATAGACACAGACATTTCCAGGGCTGAAGTTTAGTGCAGGATAGCTGTGGGCTTAGCATCTGCAACAATTAGTGGGATTACACTCCTGTGTAAATCTACCTGTTTATAGTGAAATCAGACAGATTAATTCCAGCTGGTGCTGAGAGGCTTCTTGGCTACTTGCAGCTTGTTGCACTTTTTTCTACATTTATAAAACAGTCATTTTGACAATTGCCCTGATTTCAGCTGGGATAGAGCTAATGTGCTTCCCAGTAGCTGGTGCAGTGCTGTGTTTTGGATATAGTATGAGAACAATGCTGATAACACACAGATGTTTTAGTTGTTGCTGAGTAGCACTTACCCTGATCAAGACTTTCCAGTCTCTCATGCTCTGCTAGTGATTAGGAGTGCGTGAAGCTGGGAGGAAGCAGAGACAGGATACGTAACCCAAACCTGCCAAAGGTGTATTCCATACCACAGCATGTCAGGACCAGTATATTAACTGGGGGGAAGCTAGGTAGGAGTGGCTGATGGGTGCTTATGGATGGATGGGTTAGGTGTTAATCAGCAGGTGGTGAGCAATTGTATTGTGCATGTCTTGGGTTTCTTGGGATTTATTCCTCTCTATTTCCTTTGGTTATTATTGTTATTATATTTTATTTTATTTTATTTCCATTATTAAACTGCTCTTATCTCAACCCACAAGACTTACCTTTTTTTGTTCCCTCAGTACTCTTCCCCAGGGGGAGTGTGTCAGCTGCATGATACTTGATTACTGGTTGGGTTTAAATCACAACAGTGTCTCATACCTTACAAATTAAAATTTCTGGAGCTGAACTAATCTCAGTTCCCTCAGCAGCTGGTATAAGTATAGATAAACCCTGCCAATTACTTGTTTATCTAGATTCTTAGCACAGCAAAACTCCTCAGTAGGAAATATATGATAACTCTACAATTTAAGATGAAATGAGATTAATTTCAACAGTTTTGGGTCAAGCCCAATTTTACTGTATCTCACAAGAACAGGATAAGAATACTGTATTTCTAGCTTTCTCTGCCAGCCAAAAAATACCTTAGCTCCAAAGCTCTCTGCTGATGAAAGTGAATGTTTATCTTCACACATGAATCATTTTTCAAACTAAAGTAGGGGAAGCAATCTGTTAAATTATGTGAATCTGTAGAATCATGAAGATAATTTGCATCGTTTTCAGTCAAAACCAGGCTGAAAGTGCATAACTAGGTAGGCAATAACAGTATTTTTGAAGTTTGGACAATTTTTGTTTAATTTATCACTTTTGAATGTTGTTTCCAAAATGACATAAAATTCTGGCCCCATCTAAGCTTACAGCAAGTCTCATTAACTTTTATGGGCTTAGGACTCTGCCCACATCACAATCCTGTCAGCAGGATTGTATCAGCCCACAAATAACTGCATTGGCCTGTACACTCCTGGGTGTGTGAATGACTGCAAATCTAGTCAAGATTTTTACACAACCCTATTATCATATGGTTGCACCAAAAGCTGGAATAATGTTCTTCCAACTGAACAGGGTTGTATTTATTATCCAATATATATGAATATATGCATATATGTTTAGATTTATTATTTAAAATGAAAGATTCTTTTCATTAAAACAAATGAATGGCATGATTTGCAATGCCGCTGAATACAATGGAGAAATCTTACTGATTTTGAACAGCAAGTGGGTTTTAGTTTGTGGTTTTGGGGTTTTGTTTTTTTTTTTTTTTTTTAATTATAAAATTGAGAAAAAGCTGAAGAAATACTGAGTTTCTTCTGATCGTGCTCATCTGTAGATGGTCATTACTGCGAATTGGTGAAAGACATCATTGTGTCTTTCAATGACAAGCTAACTAAAGGATTCTTCTGAAGTTTTCTATGTAGCAACAAGACCTCAGCACATTGTATCTCCTGCTTTCCAAGCAGAAAATAGCCAAGAAGCAAATATCTCCAAGTACCTTCACACACATAAATGGCTGTATTTGACAACTTAACCATTTTGCCTCTGCACCCTGGGATTCTTCCTGGGATTTGATTTCAGTATAGATAAATATTTTGTAAAGATGATAACTCCCTTTGCAGCCTGAGTAATGCACATTTACTAGCATATGAATCTAGGAGCCTGGGTTAGATTTTTGCCAATAGGATTTATGAAACAATTTGCAATATGGTTTTTATCATCAGGTAGATACTGTAAATCAGATTCTTCTCCTTGACCTGGCTTCCTATGAGATGCTTATATATACATAGCTTGGAGACTTCTCATCTAATTTACATGACAGCTCAAATAGACAGAATATTTTATGGTATGGTTTAGGCTGGTCAGCATTCTTCTTATTTATCTAAGGCCATCCAAAATTCTGTTTAGAGTTCAAGGACAGATTTTTGGAAAATATTCAGACCTCAGTGGGAGCAGAATTAACTGGGTGCAGCCTGCTTTCTGCAAATATTTCTCTGAATCTCTAAGGGAAAGTATAATACATTTTACCCACTGAAAGGGTCTGCAGTTAGAACTAGTTACAGGGGTGAAATAGCTGATATTTTACATTTTCTCACTTAGAGCAGGATTTCTTGCATTCTAACCTGCATTATTTAACCACTGGAGTCTCATTCCAGCTAGAGATTCAAGCTCTCTCTGTAGCTGACAAAGAAAATCCAACACTCCCAGCAAAGACAGTCTGAAAAGGGAGGTAATCTTCCTCTGAGGGTCCCTGACTTTCTTCTCTGGCTACATAGAGCATTTGGATGACATGCATGATTCTTAAGCAATTTTAATGCTAAAATTACAGCTGATTGCTTAATTATTCACATACAAGTTTCAGGAATCCCATCCCATGAACTGATTTTTATACTTTCCAGGTTGCTCACTTCAGCAGTAGTTGAAAGATGGAGATGCTAAGAAGTCCCTTCATTTTGTACTGCATGGAGAGTTCGAATTATTTTTTTCACTGTTTAGGGTGTTCAGTATGAACAGTTCTGTGAGCTAATTTGTAGTAATGTCAGGAGTATTGTAATCTGTCCTATGCAAGGTAGAACAGGTCATTCTTCTTAGAGCTGGTATTCGAGCATTAAGCTCTCTAGTGTTCTCACTGTATAATTGGGTCCTTCAAAAGGAAATACAAAATTAATATTATTTCAACCATGAGAAAATTTGTATATTAATTCAATATCTTTTAATTTTATGTCACTTAATTGCTTACTGTAAATGCATGGAAATAAAACAAGATGCAGCTCTTTAGCCCGTGTGATATCCTGATCCACAATTGCATGCCTTTCTGTTGCATGAGTAGGTAAAGTCTGATGGAGTGAAATACGAGCCCCTTCTCAAACCACTTACTGTTGCTTCCTAATTTCATTGTTGTAAGTACTATGGCACAGAAAGTCAAGAGAGATACTAGAGAAGTAGGTGTGACATCAAAGCTAACAATTTGTATTACACATTATGACTACTACTGTCTGATGACTGTACTGAGAGTCAGGCTCTGGTGGGTTTAACAGCTTAATTTTCCTCAATTACAATACAGTGATTGTGAGACATCTATTTCAAAACCACTTATCAGAGAAATTGGTTCAGTCTCATTATCTTTATTTTGTGGTTATATAAACTAAGCCAAACAGGTAGAGAGATTTTTCCACATTATGTTATGTTGAATGGAGGAGCAACAGGTAGTACTCACTTGCCTGAACCCATCCAAAGGACAGAATCTTTAGTCCTCCCTATCATACACAAGGGAATTTTTAAGAGTACTTCTGTTAAAATCATGGAGTGGTTTGCCCAAACTTACCATTAATTGAAGAAGAATGGAGCTGTGCTCTGGAAAGCTTTTCTCCTGGCATTTCTGTATTTATCCAATGAAAACCTTTCGTCTTAATAGAAATTTGACCTGAATATTGGAAAGAAAATATAAATTCAAAATATTTGTTTTAAATAATAATTTAAGTGAACATTGCTGCTTTGTGTTTCGATAAGAGTTGAAGAATTGATAAAGGCAGCTATCCAAAAGCATTGTTCAATGATACTCAATGAACAAAGTGAATGAGTGAATGACCATTCTTCCTTTCACATCTTAGTTAACCCTCCCCTGTACTTTGTCTTGCGAGGGACATGCATGCTTTAAAAATATTCTCTGCCTCAAAACATCTTAAATTCTCTTTTAACTTAAAGTATTGTGGAAATCAGCACAGCGAAATAATTGGGTTCACCAAACCAATATAGAAGTGATGATAAATGAGTAGTAGTTTCAAATAATTTCCAAAAAGCAAAGTTTATTCTCCAAATGAATTGCTAAACTTCTATAAACTCTTTTCCAAAGGCCTGTCCTCTTAGCTGGCATGATTTAATCAGTGTATCTGAAAATATTTATCTTCTGTTGAAATGAAAAACAAAAAGTTTACCTAAGTAGATTAGTTTACAGGCCAAGAAGCTGAACCATACAAGACTATGTGTAGTCACTCAGATGAACTGCAAGCTAAGAAAGTTTTATTCCCTAGCTGAACGAAAACAATATAACAAAGGCTCATGTTTGTAGCCTGGAACATTGTCTAAATAACAATGGACTAAATCTCCTTGCATTGTATTTTTTCTGTGAGATCCAAAAGTAAAAGAGAGTTAAAATATTTTTGAGACTTAACTTTTTACTTTCTGTCACAAGCATTTTTGCTTATTCCTGTTGTGACACTGATCCTACATTGGCACTGATTCATGTTGTGCTTTCATCTCATATAGCAGCCAGTTATTCACACTTCCAGCCTTTTCCTAAGTTTGCAGCAAACACTTATAGCAAGGCAGGGTCATATATGAGTAGGAAGATGTGATGGTGGAAATGTTACTTGCGGATCTAGAGGTAAAGATCCCTTTTCCTAGCCCTGGCTCTTTACCTATTCAGAAGGACTTCAATGTTAAAAATCATCACCACTGTAAGAGTGAAACTTATCCAAAGTTCCCACCCAGGCCAGATGAACGAGTGAACAGAAGGCGCTGGATGAGGTTTGCAACAGAGCACTCACTCCGTGTCTCTGAACTCCATACAGATAATAGCATTTAACACTGTGCCTTACAATGAAACCCATAATCAGCTTTCTCTTCAGTTTAGCTGTATTACAATTAGATATCTAGAAAAAGCAAATTCAAGATTCACAAGACTCTGCAAATGTTCAGTAGCAAAGATGCCGATCCTTTACTCAGCCACAGGCCCAGAATCCACAAACTGTTTGTGTTTAACTAGCAGGAATTTATTGTACCACAGAAGCAAGCAAGCTTCTGTTCTTCCATCCAAATTGGGTTAGGGAAGTTTCCATCACAAAAAAGCCAAAACATTTTATCCTGAGACTGCTTCAGGGAATGGCAAAAGCTCATGAGCAATTATTTGATTATTATGACATGAGGGTCATCTTTTTGTTTCGTAAGTAAAGAATAACTAACACAATGATGTGATCACTCATTTGGACCTTTAAATGCAGCCATAAAGCAAACAAACAAATAAATAACATTCATCAGCAAAATCACCTCCAGTAGTCTCAAATCTAAGTGTGTTATGGTATCACTTTTCCAGGAGAGTTGTTACATGATTTTTAATATTTTCTTACAGGTTGAATTTTAGTAGTGATTAAAGGCACCACTTCAGCAAATTGATTTTAATTTCTGGGGAGAATTTGAGTGACAAGAAACAATTTACCCTTATCAGTGGTAACATCTTGGCTGCTAAAGTCAACATGCAACTAATGCATGTTTTTAAAAGACAGACCATCAGATGGAACTATGAAATAGTAATTTCTCTTAACTGAAATCTTAAAATATAGTTACCTCTCCCAAGGTAGGTTGAGAATATATATAATTGTGTATAGAAGATGACTGACATAAGGTGTGACGCACAAGTAGTGCAAGAGGATTTATGTAGCAAAATAGCTGGTAGGATAGAGCAAAGGTCTGAGGAAAAGAGAATACTTTGGGCTTTAATCTGGTTCATGATCTATGCTTGAATGTAGATGGAGCATTGCCGAGGTGGCAAATGAACCTTTCCATTCAGTTTTAGGCTACAGGAGTCCAGGAACCACCCTGTGATTTGGAACCATCCTCTGATGTGGAAGCACCTTGTGATGTGACCCACAGCAAAATAGGTGGTGACAAACAGGATGTTTGTTTCAACAGCACAATCCTGGCTCAGACTAAAACACTGATATTTGCCCCCATTTTGCCATTCATTGCACTAACAGTTCTACCTTAAACAAAGACTTGGCAAGGACTTTTATATTTAACAAAAATAAGTAGCTGATTTAGCACATGAAACACTGCTGGTTCTGAGAAAGCACATCCTGTTTGTCTTGAGTTAAACTCGGTGTTTTTACTAAAGGCCAGATCCTGAAGCCTCCATTCCCAGCAGCTCTTTCTTTCAGATTTGAATCATTCAAGTTATTTTCTGTGGAATGAAGTCTATTGCAAAATGTGTGTCAGCAACACTAATATTTAGACTCCAAGAAGAAAAGAAGGAAAAAATCAACATCATATCTCATATTATTTATAAAAACAGTGTACCAAAGTACAACATTAATCCAATGACTGGAAGACTTTGGACTTTTCTTATCTGTGTAATAGTATAGATCTCAGAAATTATTCTTTTATTGCTCTTCCAGCAAGCTCATTTAATGAGACATGTAGTCAATTTTATTGATTTACTTGTAATATAAATATTTCTCAAAACCAGAGGAAAAAATCTATATGTGTAATCTGTAATTTGGATTGAAAGAAATACAGATAAAGATCTTGCTGAAATCAGTGGTAGCAAAAATATAGTAAAGACTTGGTGAAAGTTTAACACTCTTTAAAAAGAATTATTTTGTAAAGTTTTATGTGTTACTCACGTAACTCATTGAAGCAGGATTTGCTGTGAAGCATGTGATGGAAGAGCTCACACAAAGAGTGCTCTGCAGCAGGTAAACTCTGGCAGGTACACTCCACATGCAGCATTGTGCCCCAGTTGCTAAGGTAGGCTGCTTTGCAATCAGCATTTGCAGAACAGGGCATGTCATCCTTGATTAAAGTTTCAAGGCAAGCTTCATCATTGTAGCATTTTTTTGTCACATGTCTCCAACATTTTGACTGAAAAGCTGTGTATTTTTTCCTGGTGAAAGAAAAGAAGTGTACAATGGCAGTTCAAAACCTCTGTGATTTCACAAAAAAGGCATGTAAGAATCATCATAAAAAGAAAGTGTATTCCCAAAGTACTACTTAAGCCTTAAAGATCATGCTATTCAGTGCTAGGTGGCCTAAATTCTGCTCTGATTTGCACCTAATTGGTTTGAGCAAAATCTGCAGAATTGTAATTTGAAGAAAAACTTGGGTTTACTTAAAAAGTTTTGTGAATGAAATCACATTCCTGCTCAGCACCTGTGGGGATTTTACCAGGGGTAAAGTGAAAATCAACGTGAATACCAACAGTCTCAGATCCTCAGAGAAGAAATGCAGATAGGGGAATTAGACCTGCATCACAATGAAACTACACCAGGCACTGTTTTTCATTTTGTTGGGCATGAAGGAAGAATGAACATTCAACTTATTTTGCATAAAATAATCCACGTTCAATGCCAACCCCTCCTCCTCCTGAATGCTAATGAAATGCAAAATGTCCAAGGCTCAAGAAAAAATTAGAAGTAATTCAGTTGACCTTAAAGTTTAATTGATAGCAGAGATAAATTACAAGAACTATCTTGTTTCCCAGTTTAATAATCTCAAATTATTTCAGTTGATTTGCTCTTAGGATAGAACAAAATTGGCCTTGAATGCACTATGTATGACAATAGAAAACATCTATTAAAAGTTAATGAAGAAATCTATAGATATTAAGGAGAAACCAACTTATAAGTTACATTAAATGTTAGGAGACAATAAAGGTAAACTTTTGTTTATTGTACATTAATATATTAAAACATTTTTGCTTAATAAAATTAGGTTACTAATTTACTGTTGATATTGTGCAGTTGTTATAAGCATATCACATGGGAAAGCATGGACTATTACAACACCAGTTAGGACTTTATCATAAGTATTTTCATCACACAAGTAAAGGTTTCAAAGCAGATGCCACCTATGTGCTCATGGAATTGGTTTTATTCACCACCTGATTTATAAATATGGCTAGCCATAATTCACAGACTAATTTTGCTAATTATATCCACTTATTTTCAGTGCCAGGAAACATTAATGTTCCCAAAATAATAGGTACTTCAGCAAGTCTCCATTATGATATTACATGTGTCCACATGCACAGAATTTGTAGCCCAGTTCTTCTTGACATAAAAAGGGTCAGTTCCCATTGATGTCAGTCTGAATAGCCTGCACATAACTGGAAGTGCCACTTGGCCTCCTGCTTTGTTGACTGAAGGTTAATTTGAGCACAGCTTGGAGGTAAAATTCAGGACTAATCCACAAGGGACCTGGTGACTACAGAGAAAGCCAAAGTGGACCAATTGACCATCCACAAATGTTGGCAATTAAGTAAAATTAGGAATAAGAGCTAATCCTGCTATGTGCTTTCTAAAAAGAAAATCAAATCTGAAAGCTGTGTTATTCTTCATGAGATTGGTGTTCTGTGCATGTTTCAGGACAGCTTTTTTTCAAGTATTAGTATGCTTGAGATAAAAAGATGAAAGTCTTCTGAATGGGCCAAGTTGGTTGTACAGCTGTTGGGTACAAAGGGTCAGACTCTGCAGTGGAAAAGGTAATTACTTTAACCAACAAACTCTGTCCAGTCTGCTGCACAATTTGTGCAAACTGCTAGAGGTCAAAGATGCAGACTGGCAGGTGTTATCTGAAGACAGTGGTAATGAAAATACACAGCAGTACAGTTTGTCCATCAGAAAAGGTGTTAAGGGTCATGAAAAAGGCAGGAGAAAAGCCCACATTAGATTCCAGACCTTTCTGAAAATGAAGCTTTTCAGTTTACTAGTGGGATTACTTGTGGAATTACCACAGTCGATGCAGATATATGTGAAGATGTCAAATACAGGTGTTGACACCCAGTAGACACAGTGCAGGAAATAATTTTGTTATAGATGAGATATATGACATAAGGATAAAAATTGTTTGATCAAATCATTATTCAAAAGCAAAGTCTTTCTTTGCTTACCTGCACAATTCATTCTCTTCACACATGTGGATTATATTCAGACATGATGGGGGTGGAACTGCAGTAACTGCACAGGGCTTGCCATGGAGAAGTTCTTTAGCTCTGTGGCAGGACTCATCAGGCTGAGTACAATCACAAAATATCATCATTTGGGCAACTTCAAAAGGCATGTTTTCATAGAAGAACCTTAGGGCTGCTTGACATTCTTCCATGTTGCACTCCTTATTTACTGAGCAAGCCTTAAGATACAGGGACAGCTGTTTGTTACACACTTCATCTTCAATGCACTCTCTGTTCACATCCAAGCAGGTGCTGTTTGCTGTGTATGCTAAAAAGAACAATTTTTTTAAATGAAATCACAAGAAAACCTTTCTCAAGTGATGATTAGTAGTCGTCCCTCATGTAACATTCCCATTAAAAACAGTTTTGACTCCCAAAATCTCTGATCCAGCCCTTCTAACATTGCTTCCTTTAAGACCATTGTGTGAACTTCACACTTCTTCTTTCCACCTCTTGGCCCTCTTAAGCAACTCTTCTGCAAGTTTCTGCCACTGTCAGATAAATAAGGGAGAAGAAAGTGAAAACTGGCAAGATGGGAGTGTCTTCATGGTATGTAATAGTTCATAGAAGCTAGTGTCTAGTAGATACTGCTGAAATCTCCAGCATGCAGTCTTACGCTAGGCTACGTAATAAGTAATGGAGCAGAGAATATAAATAGCCTTTCTGTGGTTTTTAGAACTATTTTAGGTATTTGTACACTATGCTATAAACCTTACAAAAAGATCTAGATAGTTCTGACCCTAAAATGTTTATGGGATAAGATTTGTTTCTGTGAATTTAACAGGATCAGGATTGTTACCTGACTTTTGGGGATTCTTTTCTACCCAGTAGCTTAACTGAAAATACACTGGATTGACTCCTTACTAATCTGAATGAAAAGTATTCATTTTAATCTCAAGATACTTTGTATACTATCTGAAAACAGAGCTAAAATGAGTTATTAGGATTCATAAGTAAATTCTGACTTACCTTTTTTAGAGAGTGCAGATAAACTCCATTGTAATTTTGTTTCTGTACTAATATTGTCTAAAACAAAAACATATGGATGCAAGCATAAGTGATAAATCATGTCTTAGCTTAGTTTTAAACTTTAAAGTGTTGCCTGTGTTGCTGGCATAGTGCCAGTAGTAAAACTAAAGAAGAATAAAACAAACTAACTTGACAAAATAGGACCTATTAAATTATATATTCATAAGTTTTGGGGTGAAACCACAGTTTATCAATGGCTGCTGATAACATTCTCTGCATAATCATAGATCCTTTGAGCTCAAGAAGCATTTTTAGAGCTGCTCAGTGCAGTATAAAGTCAGATTTCTTGTGCCTTAATGTGCTCATCAGTGCATCCAGTTTGTAAGATCAGCTAATTACTTGTCTTGATCTAAAGTCAAGGCAATTGCTGTTAGAAAATTGTGATTGGTCTTATTGTTTCTATTTATAGTGTAATGCTAAGAAGGATTGATTTGGATCAGGTTGTATCAAATTAACACAATGAAGGACAATAGTATTTGTGCTCAGGCTATCATTTAGCTATTACATTATTCACATATAAGTAAGCCTCTGAAAGCTATCCTGTTTTCAGTGTTAAACTGCAAATTATTAAGAAAACCTTTTTCACAGGCTTGTGCACACCACTGTTATGTATGAAAGTATTCAGACTGCTGGAATACCACTAACCTGTGTCAGTGTCCTGATTTTTCCCATTGTCAACATCATCATCATCATAGTTGTCATCACCATCATCATCGTGATCATCATCATCATTTTCACTAGCTGCTAAAGCTTGGCTCTCTTGAGAGTATTGTAAACAACGGTTGTTAAATATTTCCTTCCATATTTTAACACATCTCATCTGAAGTGGCTCTGAGCACTTGCACTCTCCCAGCACTGTTTTCCTCAGCTCTTTCCACACTGACAAACATGCCTGGTTGACCATCGGGAGCATGCATTTTGCTGTGTCTGCCTGGCATGCTCTCTGGAAGCTCTTATACACTAAAAAGCAGTAAGAGTCCTCTTGACAGAGTAGTTTTGCAGTGCTACAGTCGTTCTCTAATTCTTCCGGGTGTCCTTGGTCTTTGGGGTTTCTGTGTTGCCTAAAATTCAGTTCAGTATCTGATCTTGAGGAGGTTTCCAAATATTCTACACAAATGGGTACAAACAGAGATATAATCAAATAGAAGATTGATCATCATCACTGATCAGCTCAAAACAAACTCAGGAAAAGGATAATTCTCTTAATGCAACAAAATGAATGAAACAGCCTTAGTTTCATTCTGAGCTGTATGTAAATACATAATAATTTCAGAGTCTTGCAGATTAATGAACCTTCCTCATGCTTATTGTGTCTTGTTAGCTGTATAACACAGTCTAACAATTCATCTGCTAACAGTAATATGAGAAACCCTCACTAAAATTACTGCATAACAGGATTTATCTCACATAATTTTAACCACCTACAGGTTGGATATACAATAGATAACCATCTTAATTCGGTGCATAATTTGTAAAGAGAGAATGGCAATTCCAGCAGATCATCCATTCATTACCTAAAATAGTAATTTAATTTAGACAGGGAGAATTAAGTCCTAAAAGTGTCTACCAATGCCATAAGCTATCTTATGTAGGTAAAACTGATACGAGAATAACTCCATCAAAACTTTCTGCTATACTGGTGAGAAATGTAATCTCAACCATTAAAAATAAAAAATTACTTCATTTTGCTAGAAGCAAAAAGAACTGTTCCAATGACATTGTGAGATATACAGGAATGATTCGTGTCAGCAACTTAGGAGTCCTTGTTATCATTGTACTTTGGGTGGAATAGAAAATCCTTGAAAACATTGTATCATGTGTAGAATGTCCAGTAGAACAGTCCAGTAACTAAGGTACAACACAGATCACTACTGCTGCCACCAATGATAATAATGATAAGGGAAATAACAGGGGAAGAGAATACAACTGCTCATCACCTGCCAACCAATACCCAGCCCGACCTGAGCAGTGATCTTGCCCTTCTGGGTAACTGCTCCCAGTTTATATTCTGGGCATGACGTGCTGTGGTATGGAATACCTCTTTGGTCAGTTTGGGTCAGGTGTCCTGTCTCTGCTTCCTCCTGGCTTCTCCTCCTCCCTGGCAGAGCTTCAGATTCAGAAAGTCCTTGGTCAGAGTAAACATTACTGAGCAGCAACTAAAAACATCGGTGTTATCAGTGCTGTTCCCAGGCTGAAAGTCAAAAACACAGCACTGCACCAGCTACTAAGAAGGAGAAAAACGACTGCTACTGCTGAACCCAGGACAGAAACCTATAGATCCAGTAGTGCTCAGCCTCCTTGTGGCAACAAATAGCCTTCAACACATTGTATTTTCACTGTTGCTTTCCATTGGATTGAGCAAGAGTTTTAGAAACTGTTTGAATTTCTTACATGCATTTTACTGGTTTTGCTTGGTTTAAAAAAGATATGGCGTTGCTTTCTTATGCATGTTGGAGTATGCATATTATAGAAAAGACAAAACTAATTCTCTAGATGGGAGAAATATGCAAACAAACTTAAATCCAGTTAAAATGAGGATTACAAAATTATAGATTTCTTTTGCCATTCATAACGAAAACATTTCTGGATTAAAGCCATAATTAAAGGTTTAGTTACCTTTATCAATGCTGCACTGTTTCCCAAGCAAAGTTGTGATGCTACAGAAATCATCTGAAGTGCAGACACAGTTTTTAAATTCTGGGTATTCGGTATGGAAACCTTTTTGAAAGCAGATTTTAAATAATATTAATGCTGATATAATAAAGTTTCCTTCTTTTGTTTGATCTCACCCATTGCCAAAATGCCTGTTCTCATTTCCAAATGACATAAAATCTTAAGCTTGTATCTTTTAATTTAGGTACATGAGGAACAGAGACCAAACTGAAAAGGTGCACAGGAATCAGCCTGATCTGAGGCACTGAGAAACTCAGCTTGGTCCTATGTAGAAATTATGTGCCTGGTGCAGGGACATGAATTCACAGTACAGGCTAAGGTACTGCCAGGTAACAAAGTAAGAGAGAGGACATAGGAAGCCAGGCACAGGCCTGTGATAATGGTGATGCTAACCCCATGCTGAGAGATGTCTGCTCTAGTTCAGATCCTTCACTCACATGAGAATAACAGGAGCCTACAGATGCCTTCCTGTTTGGATATGTCCTTGGACTGCTACCCTAGTTCACTCCCTAAGTTTGGCAATGACAAGAAATTTTAAGCAGTCCAAGTATATTTTGTTGTTTTTTTTTTATTTTTAAATAATAAAAATAAGTTAACACTAAAAAAAAATATGCAGAAGCCCTAGTCTGACAGTCCAGTTTCAAGCTTATTGCTTGCATGTGCACTTAGACTCAGTGACAAAGACACTCAGGCTGTCAGGTCATATTTTCCTTGTATGGGTAGTAAAAGTAAAGGTCATGTACTAGTTTGTGGTACAAACGTAAATAAATCAACCTTTTGCTTTATGAATTAAAATATTTTAAAAGTATTTCATTACTTGTTATTGCTTAAGAAAGTTACAGGTTACTCAAGGAAGTTGCATAAGAAACAGTTTTATGCCATTTAAGAAAGTTTTATTTTGTGAAAGCCATGGTCTACCTTGTCAAAACAGGTATACAAGTATACAGGTCCTCAAAACATCACATTTCCTCTCTTCGCCCCATAGGTGTTAAGTATTTCACAATATGTAAGATAAGGTGTATGTGGCTCACAAGATCCAGGCTTTCACGGGGCAGCATGAGGTTCAGTTTTAATCTACTGAGCGCATATGCTATTGTCTCTGCCCTGTCAACGGTGATGTCTGGCTTCCTGCCATGCTGCTTCCCCAGTGACTATCATGGAGCAGCAGAGATGGTGTGCTCAAGTAAAACTGCAAAACTAGCACCATGTGTCACCGCTGCCATGGACAAGCTTTAATCTGATTAGAGATTTAACGTCATTTATGTGCTGTTGACACAAATAGCAATAGAAGGCAGTCTAGGTGACGGCCTGCAAGAGGAAAGAGTGCATTTTGCCTGTGCCTGAAGGAATGAATATCAGCTATTTCAGACTGTACATCCCACCCTGCCACCCCTAAATCCTTTCTCAAACAGTGTCTGCATTGGTCTTTTTCCAGTTGCTGTTGTTTTTGGTGGTGTATTAGAATGTGTATTGCTGGAGGGTGATGTTGCAATCCATCAAGAGCTAGAGTTCCCAGCCTCTGCTCCTGCTTCACCTCTTGTATCACCAAAGGAGGAAGCCCATGGACTTGCCTGTATCTCTCCAACTTGCCTTCTGCATTTTTAGTAGTAGACCCTGACCCTTAGCCCTCACATTTCTTGCTTTTGCCAGTAGCCAAGGAGCTCAGGAGATCTTCTGACAATCATAGACATAGGACACTCCCCTAGTATAAAAATAGGGCGGAAAAAATGTGGTGACATGGGAACTACAGAGACCCGTGGAGGTGGGTGTGTGCATATTCTACTCTGTATTTCATCAGGTGAGTAAAGGATAGTAAAAGAGTTTTGGAAGACAATTTCAGCAGGACAAATTCCAGGGGTAGAAAAAGAGCAATGAAGATCAGGAGGAGCTTGTTTAAAAGACTGTCTTCTTCAAGGTCCTGAGGACACATCAAGAGTGGAGGTGACTAGAGGTAGGAGAATAAGAAACAGAAATCCTGGTATGCAGCATCCCAGACTCACTGTGCTCATCTGTCTTCACGACACCAGCATGTTGTGGTTAGGAGTCAGGTACACAGGGGCTGTGACCAGTGGCCACACTCTGTGAACAGTGCAGTGAACACACTGCACTGAATCACAGCAACCTACAACCAGGGGGTAAAAGGTATATTGTGAGGCTACAAAGATAAAAAGGGCATAGATAGAATCAGGTAACACATCAGATTTACGGCTTGCCCTATTATCAGTAGAAATAACCTATTATCAGTATTAATCCGTTTGTACACTGTATTGATTCAGCTGCAATGAACAGCAGAAAATATTTTGTTGGTGGTTTTCAATTATTGTTGCTTTATCATTGATTATTTCTAGGTAATATATTTTAGCTTATATCTATGCTTCCAAGGAATTTATAGAAAATGCTCTCTGACCTAATGCTTGGCAGCCATTATTCATAATTCAGTTTATTTATATGTACATAGCTTATGTATGTGGGGACACAGACGGAAGCATGACAAAGTAGAACCTGACATTTCCAGGGAGATAATCTCTGTTCTTGCACAGTGAGTTTTTCAGTCATCTCAGTGGGAATTGCATCTGAAGACTGTAAAGTACTGGGCCTTCTCCTCCAGCACTGGTGAGATGACTTCCCGAGTACTGTGTTCAGTGCTGGGCTCCTGAGGACAAGAGGGATATGGGCATACTGGAGTGGCTCCTGCAAAGTGCCACAGATGTGATTAATGCAGTGGAACACCTGTCCTACAAGGGGAGGCTGAGAGAGCTGTGAATGCTCAGCCTGGAGGAAAAAAGGCTCAGGGGGTTACAAGTACACATATCCATGCATATAAAAACCTGATGGGAGGGGAGCGAATAAGGCAGGGAAGACCCCTAGGTGGCATCCAGTGACAAAACAAAAAGTACAAACTGAAATACAAGTTCCATTTGAAGATTAAAAAAACCTTTTTTAATATGACAGTGGTCTAACAGCAGAAGAGTGCCCAGATGGGTTTTGATGCCTCCATCACTGGATACACCCAAAATCCACAGTCCTGGAAAACAAACTGCAGCTGACCCTGCCTAAGCAGGAAGTTTGGACTAGATATCCAGAGATCACTTCCAACCTCAGTGTTTCTGTTACTCGAAGAAAAAAAGAACTCTTCTAAATCTAATTCAAATTGTGATTCTTTAATATTTAAGTGATCTGAGTTCTTCTCTTTTTTAACCCAGATATTTCCAGTTCTGAAAAATTAAGAAAATGTATACTAATGGTTAAATCAGAGCTCAGAAATTTCTATTTTATTTTCCTCCATTGAAATAACAGATGAAAAAAAGAAAAACAACAAAAAAACAGAAAATCCCAAACCTTAAGAACTTCATTCTGCACTGCTGAAACATTTTTGACATTTTCAAACTGAAAACCTTTGATTCCATCATAGTTAAATATTTCAGTCTTTTCCA